AATTGTCCCATTTATCGGATTTCGGTACGTTTTTCCTTTTTTCTTAAAAGACGATGCAATATCTAGGCCACGTTTCACGTCCGTTGCTCTTTTGACACGATCACCGTGAAGAAGTTACACGTGCACACGAACAATGCCCTCCCCCCGTCTCTATCTCTCGTCCTTTTCCTCGCTCTCTTTCGCCACAACTTTGTGAAAATTTGTCGACTTCACGAAACAGCCGCGCATTACAGGCGACTCAGCACGCGGACGGACTGATCGATAGATCCTCAAGCGCGAAAACTCACGTTGCATGTGGGTCGAGCTTCGACAGTGAAACGAACGAGCAAAGTCCGCGGCGGCGATAAGGGTAATTAGTATGAAGGATATACAAAGTACCTCAGGGACGGCGCGCGAGAAGCATTCGGCTGGGAGTGTGCTGACGGATGTTTGCTCTCGTGGCACCTTGGGTGCGGCGTCGCGCGACCTTAATTTTAACGACGTATTCCCCCGTGATTGCGAGAGCTCGACTTTTCCTCCGGCGAAAACGCCGGCTTCCTCTGAGACGTAACGAGCGATCGAGGGAGAGAAGGGTCTTCTCTCCCTGTCGTAAATACGCTCGGAGAGCGCAAACAGATGACGAAATCGTATCGTTTAGTCAATCTCGGGACTTAATGGAACTTTAAATCGAGCTTTAAGTACCGCGGCACGCGATGTCGAGAGGTCCGCGACGAATGACGGTTTCTCGACGTTCCTCTCGAAAGAGAGAGAGAGAGAGAGGGAAGGAGAGAGGATAAAAAGATTGACGATAGACGCGGATGAAGAAAAATCCATCGTAACCATATAACTCTCCGCGTACAGTCAGATTTTTATTTTACGACACACAGTGTAACGATCTGTCGGATACGGCCGACTTTGTTCTCTTAAAGTGAATCAGCAACAGTTCTCAGAAAAAATATTATTTATGTTGAATGTCACACTATACGTATATCGTTCTCTCTCTAGCCGTAAATATAATAAAATATAATCACAAATATATATATTTATTATTATATATAATTTACGTTTTTTTGATATTTATGATTAATATGATATTATGTGATGTTTATGATTATATATATAGTTTCACAAGAAACGCACAAAGAATACGCTAGCTGCAAAATGCCAAAAATATTTCAACTAATCGTTAATTGTAGTGAATCTAGTGCATTATATCAAAACTGGCAATACTGATCAGTAAAGATATTTCTGACTGAATCAGTAAAAAGAGTATTTCACCCATAATCAGTAAGTATTTATTGACTCTCAGTGGAAATACTCCCGCTTCACTGTCTCGGCTTATAGCTCATTGATTTTAATTGACTGAAAAATAAGATTTCATTACAAAATCTATAATACACAAATTAATTATATAATAAATATATACCAAATCCAAATTTCTGCGTTTGTGGCGATGGAATTTACGGCGCTTTGCGTGCAATAGCACTATTTGTGTTTGCAGACTGTATCAATAATGGTAATAGTCATTATTGTTGACTGATTCTTTCATAAAGATTTTACTGATCGCGATACTTTGCTTGTGACTGAGCCACAAGTTATAAGTATAGCATCTCAGTAAAGAATACACTGCTTGTATCTTGGACAGTGAACTACTCTATGACTCTGTTGAAAATCAATGTGTCAATATTGACACATTTCTTTCCCAAAGGAATAGAAAAGCCTCAGCTATAAAATAATGCAATAAGGTCAAAATCTGCAAACAGATTTGCGTTATTATGAAATCTTCCCGGGCACTTTAAAGTTAATGAACGATCAAATATTCGTTCAAGTCTCACAGGTCCAACATTCTGCGTGGAGAGTTAAGGTCGCGGGATCCTGATAAGGTCCTGATAAGATACAAAGGAGTTCCGGTATCGAGAACATAATTATTAACGCTGACGAAGGAATTTGTTTCTCACGAAATGAGAAATAATTTCCATTTAATTTCCGTTTAATTCACTCGCCTTGAATTTTTCAGCGCGTTTTACACTGCGGAAAAAGTCTTGAAAATTTATTCCGACATGGAAAAAAAATTTTATTGGATTAACGAACTATCTAGTGAAGTATAAACATGAAGCAGAAATTTCAGTTAAAGTTACCAAAATTTTAGTTCGTTCATATTTCACCAAATATTTGATTAATTCAACCAAATTTCTTCTTTCGTGTGGGGGATATAAAGTCCAACAAACTGCAGAAATAAGCCTTATTTCTCACAGAGATAAACTTTATATATCTCACAAATAAACTTTCACGTATTTTTTGTCAGTGTGCTCAACCTATTCCTCCCCTTTGCGTATTCGCCGCGCTACCGACAAATGCAAATGCTGTTGTCGTGGTCGCTTATTAAGGATGATCCTACGGTACCAGTCTAGGTAGCAATAGCGAGCACCGGTAAGTAAGTACGAGGAAGAGCCTGGAATCGGGATCACGAAGACGGCCGGAATGACTGACAGAAGCGGTCATTGTTGGCCATGAAATCACCGGCTAAATGGATCCTCGGAAACACGGATATCGTACACGCCAACCGCGTGTTTCTCCTCCACCTCCTCCCCCTCCTCGCCGAGGTTTCGCTTCGTGACCTTTGGCGTGTTCTTCTTTTTCCTTCTTCTCCGAGACGTCGTTTTCCACGACGCGGAGGAAGAGGAGCCGCCGCGGATGAGACCCGTGGACATGCAAATTTCCGCCTCGGACGGAGGCTCAAAAGTCAATCCGCCCTCTCTACCTTCCGCCGTGAAACTTTCATCCCACGAGGACACGACGACGAGAATGATCACGCGCGATAAGGAGAACAACGAACATCACACAAGATCTTCACGTTGCACACGGGGACAGACATTTACACGTAAAATTAACACATTCTCCGGACATTGATCAGCGCTAATTGATTATTCGCAAGAGACAGTGCAAGCTACCGAAACAAAAAAAAAAGAAACAAGAAGACGAGAAAACGAAGATGGAAAGTGCAGTTTCACATGACACAAACGTCGCTCCCTCTCTCTTTTTTTTTCTTACTTTTAGTACCATTGCATTACACAACATCGTACACGCCCATTTATCGTTGTCAATACTGAGCTACCGAACACAAAATTTATGCATCTCTCCCTGTGGGAGTGTACTTGACACACAAAGGGACACAATCGATCGTTCGTGTGCGTGCGACTACGTGCGCGATGATCGTGCCTGCCGCCTCTTCTCGCCCACGCTCTTGGTCTCTTCTTTTCTCTCTCTCTCTTCCCCCTCTGCCTATTTCTTTCTTTCTCTCTCACTCTACTCTCATCTCGTCTACGGCCGGTCATTAAGCAAGATAATGGAGGAAAGGGCACGCGTAAAAAGAGGCACAGGAGAAGGTTAGAGAAGAAAGGAGCAGAGGAAAGGGGAAGGGGCGAGCGACTGTGCCGATAATGCGCGCGTATACGCGATCACGCGAATACCAACGATGACATTTGTCGTTGCCGCGGTTGTTGCAGCATGTGGAACGACGCCGGTGTCAAGGTAAACTGCACCATCGTCATCGTCGTCATCGTATTTGCTCGTCGACGAACGGATGTCGAGCCGAATCACAATTCGATAACGGCGTTCTCTCTATGAAAATCTCGTCTCCGAATGTCGCGCGCGAGCAAGAATCACGAATTCGACACTCGCGGAGTTGCTTTAAGGTGCGTTCCAAATTCAACTTTGGTTACCACAGTTCTATAGTTCATGTTATATATGCTGTAGAAACCAGTATGCTGCAGAAACGTATGCTGTAGAAACCTTGGTAACCAAGGCTGAATTTTGGGACGCACCCCTATGTGCGTCGTCCGCGGGTTTCGTTCCTCTGGAAATGACGAACCGCGAAGTGGGTCGACTGGTCTTGCAATGAATACACGATACGTGAGATAAAGTGAGAGACAAAAGGGGACAGAGAGACGAAGAATGAGAAAAAGAGGAAGGAGACAATCGATTAACACGTTGAGTGCCAAATATATTTCACACATGCGCGGCTTATCAACCCTTACAGTTCGGCTGATTTCTTGGGGTTTTTACGGTCTTTGAATTAAGACTTTTTCTCATATGTATCAGAGATTAGATTGGTGAGAACTGTGAGATTCCTGTTCTGCGTAGCTTCACTTTCAAATTTGCTTTCTTTCTTACTCAATCATACAGAAACCTTCTTTTGTATGATAAGTCATGAAAGAATATAAATTTTTTGTTGGCACAAAATTATGCAACATGATAATAAAAAAAAGTTAAGATATAAAACAAAATGTCTATTATTATTCGCATAAATTTCAAATTCTATCATTAGTAAAACAATAAAAATTTATATGACGAACATATTTGTATAATTATTTATTTTTATACTTATGAATTTTTTATTTAAGTTTTTATGTTTCTAAATTTTTACTAATTTGCGCGGAAAAGGCAAAAGTTCATAATAATAATGATAATAATAGTAAGAAAAATTATAGTTATATTTTACAAAATTACTGCCGCGCTACTATAGTAGCTTCCCGAATTGTAAGGGTTAAAAGTCCGTCTGACCGCGTTCTTAGATCAGACGCGCGAGATGTTCGATACATACCGCGCTTGAACATATAAAAAATAAAATGAAGAAGAGAGAAAAGAAAGGGCGACACGACGTGACCAAAGTGAATTGTGACAAAAGTAGCTGTCCTCTTCGCGTGCGTGTTTCTCCAGGCAAAATTGTGCCAAAGTACGTGGAGCACAAAATGAGTAATTAATTACATCAAGATAAGTTTACGCGGGCCGTGTACCACTCAACGTGTTACGACATGATGAGTTCTCCGTTCTGGAAAAGCTTGAGAGAGCTTCCTTCTTTCTTCCGTAAGCCCGCGACTTACAAGACTACTTTGTAAAATTACGTAATGACGGAGAAAAGGGAGGGTGCCGGCAAAAGAAAGTTACGAGAAGCGTGTCTGCTTCGATCGATCGATCGGTCGATCGACCGACTGATTGACCGTAATCGTAAAGTGGCGTACCTTTTGTTTAGGAGATTCTGGAACGGGGGCGATCCTCTCGTCGGAATTTTCGGTCGTTCTGTTCGTCGCCAGACGACTCGGCGAGGATCCTGCAACAGAAAAAAGACGATATTATTTCGTCACTTATCCAACTGTTGTCTCGCCGAAATAATTCGCAAGTACGTGTAAAGTTCCAAAGTGTTGTGGATTAATTAAAATGATTTGGAATTATCACACCTTCGACGTCAAGATTTGAATTCATCTTGTCGCCAATAATAACGGTTATTGGCAATAAGAGCGAAGAGCTTCGTGAAAATTCACACTTCGGCGGGCACACTCGAGTCCTGGTGACGAAGTTATGATAATTGCGGAGAGAGAGAGAGAGAGAGAGAGAGAGAGAGAGAGAGGATGCTTATTTAAAATATAAATAATGCTCGGACACGAGCAACTTTCTAAAGCGAAATGCAGCCGCTTCGATGAAGTGTTGATGTGGTTTATGGAACGTCCTGTAAAACTTTCTTTCGCGGCATGAATATTTATGCGTTGCGAGCCGGAAGTACTGCTATTGTCGGTCGGTACTCTTTAGTCAAAACGAATAACGAGGCGGAAGTACGCTTTTGTTGGGACAATATTGACGTTTTTCTCTTTTTGCAGGGAAAAAAACGTGAACTCCGGGGCGAATGAAGTTGTTTGTTTGTATACCCGTGCGGATTGATTTTCGATCCGTAGCCGAAAATGCACAACACCTTTCTGTCTGTGTCCACGTTGCCTTCGTTAGATGACGGGAACGCAAATGGCTGTTGCGATAAACTGGGTCGTTAAATTTGTGTGTGAATCGAGAAAAGGTATTTGTTCGGTTATTCGTAATCCGTCAAGCTATTGTTGAGCAAACTCATCGCAGAAATCCCGAAATCGCGAGAAGGCACCAGGAGAAAGATCAAACTGTACGGAAGGAATTTTACGATAAAAATTGTTTTGTAACCGAAGAATAGATCGGCATTCCGTCGTAATTGACTACTCTTTCGTTTCATATGTGCAACTTATATTTTAAAAACTGTGAAATGTGTTATTAATAGCTGGCTTTTCAATGACAATTTGAACTTAGATTTCAACTTAAACTCTGTTTAAACAAAACAAACGCATTGTTAGAGTAGAATTTAAACTTGAATTCAAGTTTAAACTGCACGGAGAAAAATAATTCGGTGACCCAGCAAATTTTCTCCTGGTCTAGCAAGATCATTTCGTTATTATATGAACAGCAAAAAGATTTGCTAAAAGTATTAATCACTATTTGCTGGATATAATTTGCTGAATCTATAAATTATTTTGCTATAAGAAACATGATTTATATAAGCAGTTGCAGTTTTGCTCTAATAGCAAATAAATTTGCTAAGGATACATTACTTTGCATCAATAGCAAATTAATGTGATTCTTAGGACAAATACACAACAAATTTTTTCTATCCAACAAAACTACTTCTGCTCTGATAACGAATAATTTGTAAAATTAATTACGTCAACTAAATTTTTTTGATGTTACTACGAAATGCAGTAGCAACGACGGTTTTGCGAAAAGAACAAAATTATTTTTCTCCGTGTGCTATAATCGGCCCTAAAAGATCTGCTATATTTCTGGCGAAATTCACTCGTGTTCCTCAGCAAGACAATGACAATCCACATGAGAAAGACACAACTCCGTTAATGTAACTGAATTTTCTATTACCTGGGGACCGGATGAAAAACAAAAGAGAGAAAGATTCCCGTAGGAGGTTTCTACTTAGCCAATTGCTCTCAGTTATCTCAACCGAGTTTTAATGCAGCTGAATGTTCAGACGGATGTTTTCGGCCGCGACAACAGAGATATTATTTCTCATCAGCAAGTTTCCCGTCTGATCTCCTCTGTTCAGTTACGAACTGACGTTTCTTTTTCTGTATTTCCGGACTATTAAAAACAGTAAAATTGTGAGAAGCACTTATATATTTGAAAGAAAACTATAATATTCTCTTCGTGCGTGTGCACGTCGCGAAAAACCACGAGAACAAAGCCTCGTAGAAGCATGCGAGGACAACAAACAAGCGACAAGTGTACTAAAAAAAGTGTTGACCTGGAACAGTCTCAAAAGGAAATCTCGGTAGATGTTGGTACATATAATACAACGGGTGGTAAAAATATTAAATGTTAAATATGTCAGAGTATATGTCTCTCTCTCTCTCTCTCTCTCTCTCTCTC